CTAAAAAGTCCACTTCACAGTTGACCTGTGGAGCAGGGATAACCATGGGTACTTCTCACTCATGATCCACTGGTGGCAGCTGGAAGACCTGAAGGGTGGCAGGGCATCAGCAACAGGGCCACAGGAAAGGCACTTGTCATGCCACCAGACTACAGCGTTGTTCTGCTGCAGGTGCGGCACATAGAAGTTTAGGTGATGGGGAGGAATATTGCCAAAGAGTTTTAGGCCACACTGCAGAAGTGGGCAACAGATAGTGATGTCATCTGTGGGCACACGGTGACAGATGCCAAGAGAAACATGTTGGTGGCGTTGAATGCAGCAGGCTTTGAGGGCATTGTGTGCATGGCATACAACTTACACCTGGTTCTGTGCTATGCCATTGGCCTGGGGAGCCACATCAAGTTTGATTGGGATGCAGGCATATGGGAGACACGGCACTTCTGGAGAAATGCTGTCAACAGGTAAACCATTTTTCACATAGCTTGAAAGCTGCCTGCCAGCTGCTGAGAGGCAGAGTTGTTGGGAGGAACATTTTCTCCTGCCGGACCTGCCAACCCAGTGGAACTCCGCCTACATCATGGTCTCTTGGCTGGTGGAACAAAAGACCATATTGGGACCTTATGTCCAACATTCCCATTCTGCCCAGGGGAAAGAGGTGGGCCTCACTGCCACAGATTGATTTTCCCTATCCCAGATGGTGCAGGTGCAAAAGCCCTTCCAGGAGACCTCCCGCCCCCCTTTTTTTAGCACTCACAAGGCAAGCCTGGGACAAGTCATCCCCTGATGCGCACCCTTGACCGGGCTCTGGAGTCCGCTGTTTCCTCCCTATTTCTGTGGAACAGGGCCGTGGTGTAGAAGTAACAACTGCTGATACAATCTATTGGCTCTCTACAAATCATTGACACTGCAAACGGCATCAATTTCCTTTTCATGTTCAACTGACTACTGGCAAAAATTTGTTGTGTGGTGCCCGCCTCTTGCCCTGATCTCCAGTTTTGCAGCCAAAATAAAGGTGATCGGCTTTCTTAACCATTGTGGTTACACTGTGCTTTTTAATGCAAAAGTCATGTATGATGCAATACCAGCTTCAGATTGCATCATTCATTGTTTTGCCTGAAAAGCAAGTTCTGTCCAAACCTAGTCATAGATTTATTAATAGATCCTCCAATCAAAGATGTATTTTAGTCATGTCTGGTTTAAAATTGAGATCTCTTCCCCTTTTAACTCCCTTGTCCTCTGCCATTCCCAAGAGTCATATAGCATTATCTTGAAAACTAGCATTTCTTGAATAAGTATTTCTTCCCAATAGCATACAGTATCTTGAAAAATAGCATTTCTTGAAAACCAGAAATTCTGGGTCACTGAGAATGAAAATGATGCTTTAAATTATTTTAAGCATCATTTTCATTCTCAGTGACGCAGAATTAGTAAAGTTTGACTACATTTATTTCAGAAGGATTTTGGCTGTAGACTACTGTTTCCAGCATTTTGAACATTAGATCGTCTATTAGAATACAATTCATTCATTATCTCTGTTTTCCAGGCTGTGTGACCAACACAGCTACTGTAGTTTGTTTCCAAATACCCACCCCTCACAACACTATAAGCTGCAAAATGAAAACTGAAGTTTTGATGGCTGTAGCTCAAGGATGACAAATCACAAGCAAAGTAACCTACCCTGACAGAGAAGTCACATAATTGACTGCTAGGGCTTGCATTGCACAAACATTGCAGTTCTCAAACAGCATGAAGAGAATGGATCAAACATACCAAACAACATGAAGTTACAATGGTACTCTATAAGCCACTTAACTCCCTGACACAAAGGAGTCTTCCAACACAATGACAGATTGATCCGGGCAAATGTTCCACTTTAACTAGTGTATAGATCAAAATGTATTTTTTTTCCTATTGTCTCTTCCTATTCTCCTATATGCATCCTACTCTATACTAGAGTAGAGCACAAATGAAAATTGTACTCAACAATATTCCAAGAATTACTTCACATTCCATCATCAACAAATGGCAATTCAGAAGAGCTATGGTAGTCACATAGTCCTGCACAGTTCTCAATGTTTTTTTTTTAAATTTTATTTATATCCCACCTATCTGGTCGGGTTAGGACCACTCTAGGCGGCTTTCCCATTGTTTACTTTTATATATTAAAATCCATCTTCTCTGTGAAAATTGAAAGAGGAATTTTAATATAGTCTATCTTTTCATTAAAAATAGAGGCAGAATATAAACAGTTACTGTAGTCATCAAATTCAGAAGAAATGTCATTATATCGCTGTGTTTTCTTCTGTAAGCAAATGGATGGCATTTACTCTTATGGAGAATGACAAATTCTAGGCTCTCTGTAAAAGAAGGCAAACCAGTACACATCTCAGTTAGGTGCAGTGTGGACTTTATATATGTACAAAGATCTTATCACTTCAACACACATATTTCACTCTGATATATATTTTTTCTGGTAAAAGAAACAGGAGTATTATAACAGCTGAGCCTGAAATATGTGCCCTTTGTTCATCACTTTTGATATGGATCCCAATAAGCAATGCCTCTAGAATATACCTCTGTCTTAATGATCGAACTTGTTCAACATAATTACTCTTCTATTACACAAACATTATTATTATAACAAGAAAACTGCATCTGTGCATGCTGCTACAGAGATGGTGCATATATCAAAATGTGTGGCAGGGATGACAATCTATAGTTCAAAGAACATGCACATTCTACAAGGCTGCCAGCATCACACTTTATCCTGTAAAATAATACCCAACTGTATTATCTAAATACTATGTAGCAAAGAATGGACAAAAATATCATGAACAAATTCAAGCTGTGCAAGAGTCTTTTGATATGACCAGATTATTATCAAGAATAAGGAATTTGTTTTATACAGAACAGTGGTGACATGACTTTGGGTACAATGCCCTGCATACTGCCAAACGAACATACAGATTGGACCAGAAACAATATAGCATCTATGTCAAAGGGAGAACTATGGAAAACAAAAATCAGATGCAAAACCCATGAACACTCTCACCAAAAAAATAAGCTACCATTTTCTCCAGTCAAATTATGAAACTATCAAAATCAGAATTTTAAGAGATCACTGTGTTTTGTTCTGTACAGCACACAAGTTCAGATATTTCACATGTGTTAGTTTGAGAATCAGTTCAATACTAGGTCTTGGACAAACTCAATGAAATGAGATCTGTTAAAGAAGCACACCTTTCTTGTGGGGTTTTGAGAAATCAATAGAATCTGCAGATGCAAACTCTAGGAGTAACTGCAGTAGTACAGTACAGAATAGAGTCAACTGTGCAGATGAATTCATCAGCACTATCCTAGCATTCCTTGACTACATTAAGATTGGTCTCCCTGCATGTATAGTATTTTTTTCTTCTAAGAGAGTTTTTCTCAGTTTGTGAAAGCTGAAGAATATGGGCAACTTACAATGTTGGCATTACAGTGGTGCCTCACTAGACGCTTCCCTAGCGGGATGAAAAACCCGCAAGACGATTGGTTTTTGCAATCACGATGGTGCCTCGCAAGACTTTTTTTTCTATGACCGTGCTTCGCAAGACTTTTTTTTTAGACCGATGCTTCGCAAGACTTTCTTTTTGCATAGGGAACCTTGAAAGACGATTTTTTCACAAGATGACAGTTTTCGTGGAACGAATTAAAATCGTCTTGTGAGGCACCACTGTATATGATATACTTGCTTGTGAGAACTCTAGACACAGCTCTGGCTCCCTGAAATGGCTCTGCAAAGTTCTCTTATTAACCTTTGTGCCTGAAGTATCTCTTGAAAAGCCTCTGTTTAATGACCTCCCGTTTTTCCTTCAAATTCCTTCCTCTAAACCCACCTTTCTGAGAAAGCCCTTTAACAATCCCTTTAGTTTCTACATTAAAGGGATATAACTAATTATTATAACTAAGTCAAAGTTATGTGTAATTGAAATAATCCCATATTCTTCTGTTGCCTACACTTGCCATTTTATCTCCTTTCCTCTGTTTCCGTGTCTCGTTAAGACTGTAAATGCTTTGGAGTAGATACATGTCATATCTGTACAGCACTATGTACACAAAATGGTGGTGTATAAACTACCACCTTGTATGTTTGTATTATATTCCATTTTAAATCAATTTATTTTTGAGTGAGATTACAGGTGAAATCTGAACACACAAATGTAAACTAAAGAAAGGCATTAATTTTGCCTCATCTCAGGCACCATTTAGTATAAAAGGAGTTACTTTTAGATCCAGAAATGTTCATGAATGTTACCATGTGATGGCTATATGTTAAAACAATGTGATCTGTATAGAATAAAACCAAAACAGTTCCTCATAATAGAAAGCTAAATAATCATTTAAATAGTGAAAACTATCACATTTCAACCCCTCTTCTAAGCTCTAATTCAGGATAGGCAAGTATCTGGCTCTCCAAATGCTGACCTGCAACTCCCACATATTTAGACCAGTTCCAACATCACTTCATCCTCTTTGGAGTAGTTTAGAGAATTCTTACTGAGAATCAAGTAGATATTTTTGACATAATTCTGCAAGGAAAACTACCAAGAACAACACTTTGGAAGAATGATCTTTCATGTCAAAACTCTCATCATTCCTTCTTAACACTTTCCACAAGTCTTCCATCCCAGCAATCATTCCAGAGCATCCCTGTTTTATGTACATTAATTACTCCCCTTAGCACTATTTCTGGAGAATAAATTATTCCAGGAATATGACTTTAAATTACCCCAGGAAGCCAAAACAAATAATACTGGGCTTTTCTATTTAGAGCATGAAGTTAAAGAGCTATGGTTCAACAGAATGACACTTAAGAACATTTTCAAAATTCTCCAGAGACAAATATCAATAAAAATCAGAGTAATGATAAATAGAAATGTTGAAGTGGGTAATGCTCTAATACTCCTGAAGCATAACACTCTAAAGTATACTGTTTATAAAGCACTTTATTTTCATACCTCACAGCATCCAGTCTCTTGTTTTGTCGAATAAGCTCAATGAACTCCTGAATCCTTAGGCTGAACTCCAGGCAACTCTAAGATTAAAGACAAGATGGAGGCCTGACATCAGATCCTTCTGATCAAGTTTACTTGTCAGCAACTTACCTTGAAATCAACTGGAGTTCCAAGTAGTTCTAGAACTGAAGTGTTACATATGCAAGAGAAATGGAATGGCTCACAGAGAGACTTGTTTAAATTTAGGTGTTCATATAGTTGAAACACATTTCTTGTTTACCACCTAGAAGCACTCAGCTATGTAAGACAGAGACCCTACTCATGCTTAATTGAATTGAGCAGTTTAACACAAGCTGTTTTTAGGCCTACATTCCATTTCTATCCAACTGTATAGCAATCACTGCAAATATTTTTTAAGATGCAACACAAAGTAAAAGATCTGTGTCTTTCATACAGACATAGTTTGATAAGAAAAAGTTACTTTTAAAGAGTAGCCTGAACATTTTTCATTTGCTTTTTTATGTGTCAAGATGCTACTTAAATTATATTTTAAATATGAAAAAGTACATATTTTCATCAGGTAAAAGCTAGATGGCAAATTTAGTAAACCACACTCATCCACACATCACATGTTTATTTTCAATAGTAAATCAATCTACTTCACATTTGTTCATTTTACCACTGAGTTGTAAAATGTATATTGTTACCTGTTTTAAAATTTATCTTGTAATATTATTCATGTGATCCTGCTGCCCTATGGTATCAATTGCTTTTCAGATCTCGTTAAATGGTGTGTCGTTTTTGGAGTGTGTCACTTTACATGTTTGGCTAGCTTATGTCAAGATTTATCTGTCTTGCACAATCAACTCTATAAAAACTGTTTATCAAAATATATAGTATGGCGAAATATTTCTTCATACATAACTATTCTATATTAGTGAAATCCATTGTACAATCAAAGTAACATGAAAAATGTAGTTAACACAATTTCTGCATGCAGAATACTGAATACATGTAGAATAGGTTTTACTAACTAGGTAACTACAACCCTCCCCCCCCAAAAAAAAACCTAAGATCACAAGAGGTACCTGATCTGAATCTTATTGTGCCATGAGCTGCCTACATAACTGTGCTCTCAGTTCCCTTTACCTTCAGCCCCCTATCTGCAATATGAAGATAATCCTGATTTACAATAAAATATAGTACATTAAATCCAACTGTTAGTCCCTGCTACAGCAGAACCACTAAATCAATGCCTAAAATTCACTTGTATAACTACAAAATTCAATTTGGAGGCAAATTGCCCTAAATTAAGAAATCACCATAGATATTACAAGTTGCTCACTGAGTCATACAACTCAGTATGCAACTAATAATGTCTATGGTGATCTCTAATTTAAGGCAAATCAAAAATTAAGCCATTGGTGTTATTACAGTATAACTAGGTAAGATGACTCAGGCCAACAGAATTTTTCAAGTCAACACTTATGCAAGTCCCATTTATACAACAGGGCTACTCTAGTTGCAATTAACTGTTCATCCACCCATTCTCACTCAGATCTAAAACTTTCGCCATGCAACACATATAACTACCATCAATTTAAGAATTTAAATACCTTCATTTTCCTGAGCCTTGATTTGTTGTCATGACACCAAGCTAAACAAGTCATTGTTTCTTGTCTTTCCAATGATTCCTCTACCTCTTTGGCAGTCAAGAACATTTCAATATTTACCAAATCCTATAAAGAAAGTGAAGGGCAGTTACTCATCTGAGAGACACTATTTGCATAGCTTTCATTAAAACAACCAAGTACAAACAGTGAAAAGATCGCCACTAACAAAAGATGCCCCAGTCTGGTTTGAGGAGCTCTCTCCCATTGCCTTCAGTCCCCATAGCACAACCCATTTAGCAGGTTGCTTAGTTCTCTGAGTAGCATTTTCAAGGGATTGATGTTGGGAGAAAATGGCAGTGAAGTCCATACAATTAAAGCATATAGACACTTTCTCTGCACAGCATGGGGAAAATGTCCCATCCACTAACTACCAGCCCTTGTCACTACTACTTTTTGGGTGTGATTCACTCTCAAGTGACTATTTTTTCTTTAAGTGCTTCCACATCTAGTATGCCAAGCAGAAATTATTAATCATCTAATTACTCACCAAGGAAGACCCATTTCTCAGAGAAATAGCTTTTGACTTGAGATTATGTTATTGGCTCTTAAAGGGACCTTACAATACTTCAATAAGATTTCCGCCCTAATTTTTACAGCAAGCAGTTGTTTATGCTTCTTTGTTCAACTATATATATGAGCTACCCTGTTTCCCCTAAAATAAGACCTAACCTGAAAATAAACCCTACTATGATTTGGCAGGATGCTTGTAATAGCCCTACCCCCAAAATAAGCCTGTTACGTGAAACCTCGCCCTCCACCACTGTGCAGCAACCAGAATAGAATGACATGACTATTTGAATAACAGATTGTTGTACAGTGGTGCCTCGCATTGCGACGTTAATTCGTTCCGCAAAAATCGCTGTTGAACGAAAACGTCGCTATGCGATATTAAAAAGCCCATAGAAACGCATTAAAACCTGATTAATGCGTTCCTAGGGGCTTAAAACTCACCGTTCAGCGAAGATCCTCCATAGCGCAGCCATTTTTTGGTGCCTTTTAAGTGAGGAATCCGTCCCAGAAAACAGCGGGTGGCCATTTTGTTTACCCGGTGGCCATTTTGAAACCGCCGATCAGCTGTGCGAAAATGGTCGCTTTGCGATGATTGGTTCCCAAAATTCCCCCATAGGGAACATCAGAAAGTGATCACTTTTGCGATCGTAAAAAGGTTGTTGCAAAGCAATTTCGTCGCTAAACGGAGCGCTCGCTAAGCGAGGCACCACTGTACATGAAAAACTAAAACATCCCCTGAAAATAAGCCCTAATGCATTTTTGGAGCAAAAATTAATATAAGATCCTGTTTTATTTTTGGGGAAACAGGGTAGAAATTCTGAATTTTCACATACATCAATCCATCTTATTCTCACATCAAGTTAATGATATTTTATTCCTGGTCTTCATTAGAGTTTATTAGTTCATTCAATTTATATACCACCCTTCTGTAGTGAATAGGACTCAACAGGTATACAATTTGCTTTTCACTGCCAAACACCAAAGCACATAATGAATTTATAAATAAAGTGGATCCAACAGTTCATAAGAGAAAGAGAAACTGGAAGACAAAATCATTGTTTTTCAAGATTTCACTTGGATATTGGTAAGCAAAGAAATACATTAGATCCATATGCCTAAATTTCAGTAATATGACAATTACATACAGCCAATTAACAGAGTTACAAGAAACAAGAATTAACAGATAAAAGTTATAATGTTGGTAAAGGCACAGTTAAGATGGGATGGGCAAAGCATGGGCTAAATGTAGCCCCCATGGCCTCCACAAGTTCAAAGAAGAAGAAAAATTCTATTCTTAGACCTGACAACATTCTCCCAAGACTTTCCCACCCACAAAAAAACAGATACTGCCTATTTTAAAAATGCCATTTTCTGTCATATCCAGGCTTACTATAGGTTGTGTGTGTTTGGGGGCTTGAATTTGTTTCTTGAGCCCTCAGACTTTTCCCTGGACTGAAAAGAAAGGTTACTGCTAAAAGACATAAGTTCAATTTTCAGAGAAGTAGCAACAGGTTAAGGGTTTGAATACGGCTTGTTTCACTTAGAGCTGTATGCTTTGCAAGCTCCTTTCTGTTATTCATCTTCACTCATTCCTTGGAGGTAGGGAATGATATAGCCTGAACAGGACGAGAGGAAGGTTCCATCTAATGGTACTTAGTAATAATAATGGTGTGCTGTCAATTCTGACTTCTCAGGGTTTTCTGGTACAGAATACTCAGAAGTGGTTTGCCATTCCCTTTTCCTGGGGGCATCCTGGGACTATGCAGTGTAACATTCAGCCCTGCCCAAGGCCACATAGGCTGGCTCTTCAGGGAGACACAGTGGAGAACTGAACTCTCAAACTCCTGCTCCACAGATACTTAACATGGTACTTTATTAAATATGTTTTTTAAAATTTCTACGGTTGTCTACATCAGTTGGTTAATTGATGTATGAATATACTACACAAAGATGACCTGTCCAATGTAACTACTAAATTACCATCCCTGCCTACATTCTTCCAACTCCAGTGAGTAAACAAAGAGTACGAATTACATATTAAAATTCCATTTGGCTGAATAGCTTGTACATAACAGGAAATGAAGAACCTGATTGTGACAAACATTACAGTATCAACATGCCAATGCATGTACAACTTATTGACTATTTTACTAATTCAATCAAACACAAATTCTAACTAATTTCTCAATGTAACTGGCTACATTAAGAATTTTTTGTGGCTACAATGGCTAGTGCATGTAGAAAAAAGAATTCTTAGCAAGATCCACTTTGTTCCAATATCACTAATGATTATTTTAAGCTGGTAAAAAAAATTACACTGTGAAATCAAAACAAGCAGAATGAACTAACAAAATTCATTGAACTACTAATATAAGAACTCTGCTATAAAGATTAAGTCACCCAAATTAATTAATTCCAGTCAAATTCAAAGTATATGTGTTAACAAAAAGATGCAAGGAACAGTAGAAAATTACTCAAGCTGGGATGGTGAACAAGAACAAATTTAAACAAATTTAAGAGACACAGAGACAGTTCTGTCCTCTGAAGATGCTGGTCACAGAGACTGGCGAAACATTAGGAAGAAAAATCTTAAGAACACGGCCAAACAGCCCAGAAAACCCACAAGAACCATCAAATTTAAGAGACTTTCTAAACACACAGTTCAACTGCCAGTTTTAGATTGCCAGGAGGTAAAGTATGGTGCTGAGGTAACAGTTCCTCTCCATTATTTTACAGTTCCTCTCTCTACATGTTACAACTTGAAGATCAGGAAGAAGTACTATAACTTTGATTTCTCCTTGAAACACTAGTCTTTCATCCATACATCTGACTTCTTAGCACCTGGTCTATACAGGCAGTGTCTCAATTAAAGACACCTGCCAAACATTGCCTAGCCACGGGTGACCAAGACAGGAAGCAATTTTCTTATTCCAGTCTTGATATCATCCTCATCATCAGGGTACATTTCTCTAAGCTGAATAATCACCAGCTGTTCCCCTTCCTTTAAATGGGAGGTTACCCTGGAGGCCTCTGGGAAAACCTCATCTTTTTCAATGAAAGTGGTCCCTGCCATACTCCAGGCAGTACTGTACTAAATATCAGCATTTTTATGGGCATTTCATCATAGCAACTACCAACCTCAATACCACTTTGCCTTGCTAGTTTTACAGCTGTATTGTAGTAGCCACACCGCAAAAGATGTTCCACCATCATGCGATCCATGCGTTTTTTCTTCCACATATTTGCAGCAGCTGGCTGATCACTACTGTGCTCTTTGAGGTGTTCAATTCTGCGTTTGCACAGTTTTGCACTCTCATCTTCAGCCTGGATTGATTCAACTGCCTATATAAAGAAAACACATGTTTAGTCAGATTTTAATGTGAAACTCAATCTGAACTCTACATTTAACTCGTTTACTATTCTGAAATGCAGATACACTGATACTTAAATATATAGATGAAACCCACTGTAGCACCCCACAACCAGTATCTAACAGAATCAAACTGCTCTATTTGAGAGCAAAGAACAGAGCTGACACAAACTCCTCTACCAGTAATAAAGAGTTCATCCTTATGTATATTAGGAAAGGCTTCAGAAAGAAGAACCAATTCATTCTTCATTTTCAAAGCATTCATTTGTATATACTGTATGTTTGTGATAATCAGAGCATGAACCTGTGATGTGCAAACACTTAGCTGGGAAGTTGAGAATTCCAGCATTAAAATAATTCACTTGGCATCTTATAGGCATCCTCCCTATAACAATACAAAGCAAGTGAGACTGAAACCTTGTGTGATGCTCCTATCAACTGAAATCTGCTTTATACTGGACTTCAACACCAACTGCATGCACTGTATTTACAAAGAAATTTATCTGCTCAATACAAGCAAACATAAACTGAATTATTTTCATTTAAGAGAAATACACATAAAGCTAAAACAGTTACTTCCTCAGTCTTCATGCATAAGGTTTCCTGTTAACCTGTTGTTACATTAAACACCCCTTTAGAGAAAATTATTAGTACTGTATAGCGAATGCAAAATAAGTTCTGAAAGCTTCATATAGGTGGGGAAAAATAGGAGACAGCTTTCTAATAACTAAATAAAAATTAAAGGGAACTGTAAATTTAACATGTAAGGCACAAACATAAGTTTGAAATATCTTGAAGACCAACAGTTTCCTTGAATGTCTGTTAGCATTTCATTGAAGTATATAAAATGCTATTAATATAGTTTTCTTTCTAGAATGTCATTAGTCAAAGACAGAATCCAGTGCTTAAAGAAAGATGCAACACTTTCCTGATTACTTCTGACAACAGCTGAGTGCTTCTGACTACCATCAAATGACTCAAACAGGAATTTTGGTTTTTTTTACTTTTGCAAATCTACTTCCAACTAAATGACTTCTGTAGCTATAAGACGTTAATTTTCTTCTTTGGGGTTAAAAAAATCATTTCCTTTTATAATGAACTTCTAGACAATTAGCCTTTGTCAATTCACATTAGCACTCTCCTAGCTCTTTGAAGAGACTGATACATTGGGCTCAATCTCTTGTTAGGTTCACATACTTTATTTGTGTATTTCTTTTTCCAGATATAGGAGGCCCTTTTATAAATGGAAGGCCAAATACTGAACACAGTTGTGATTCTGTTTCACACATGCCTTAAAAAAATTACTGCATGTAGCATGCCAACCTGAGTGTCTACTTTAATATTAGATAACAGGATCCAAAACCATATCATATTTTTGAGAATCAAGTTCTACCATCCCACTCCAAATGGAATTCAAGGCTGAATGACATTAGAATGTAGGAAGACCACTACAATATACATACTTCTTTCAAGTTACAAGAAAAATACACAATATATCTTTATCTTAGTTAGACCTGAAAAAGTTAAAACCACCCCTGAGCTTTGACTCATTACAAAGTAGTCCTGTATACCTATGCCTGCAAGGGCAATTGTGTATCTCCCCATAACCACTCTTTTGCCATACATCTGATATTGCAGTACAGTGGTGCTTCGCCTTACGAACGTCTTGACTTGCAACCAATTCGAGTTACAACCAGCTCCAGTTGCAAAATTTTGCCTTCACTTGCAATCGGCTTTGAGATACAATCAGAAAAGAGGATGCTTTTCCCCATTGTTCCCTCCCTCTTCTGCCTTTTTTTTTTAACCTTAAAGGTCATCTTAGGTTAAAAAAGTCTCCCCTAGTGGACAAATTAACCACTTTTGCATTAGTTTCTGTGGGAACTAATGTTTTGAGATACAACCAGCGCCTTGAGACACGACCAAAAGACAGCTGGAACAGATTAATGGCACTTCAATGTATTCCTATGGGAAATGGTGCTTTGAGTTACAACCAACTTGAGTTACGACCATAATCCCGGAACAAACTGAGTTCGTAACTCAAAGCACCACTGTATGTGTAAAATTGTTCACATTCCCAAACACAAAGGTCAACCTATAGCAGGAGAAAAACTGCTGTGTGATTCTCTTATTCAAAAGCACAAATGGGGACTAAGTCTCAAGATGTATAAAAATTGGCAATATTTTTATTTTATGCTTAGTTTCTGAAGGCCACAGCCAAAACACATTGAGCCTTAGATTTTTAAATAAAATCTGCATTGCCAATTTTTATACATCTTGAGACTCAGTCTCCCATTTGTACTTTTGCCACCAGCTCCCAGTTCCCTCTGCTTTGTTTCACACTGATACTGGTGTCATGGCCTGGGACAATATATTCAGCTATTCTAAAGAAGATAAACTACTATTACAGCCTTACATTTTTGAGAGGAAAGACAAATGTGCTGACATGAAATGGGAGGAATTATGCAAAATGCACAAAAAAACTTATTAGAAGTTAACTGCATGCCTTCACATTATTAGAATACTGCAGAATACAACAGATTCCCAGAAGCCTGAGAATATTGAAAGAACCAGGCATATATAGAGATAAAGGATTTATAGACAAATGGAATGCCATTCTAAACAAATGCTCACAAGATCTGATGATACTGATTATTGATACTTCCTCCAAAATTAACTTAGAATTGAAGAAAACACTACAAGAAAACAAGAACAAATACAAACGGCACCTTGCCAAACAAAACTAGCAGAATTCGGTCAATTTGGATGGAGAGCTGAAGAACTTATGAAAAACTCAAAGCATTTAAGTACAAAAAGTTACAAAGAGATAAAAAGGACGTCCCTGGCAGTACAAAAAAATCCAAAAAAGGATCCTTCAGCTTGGACAAAAACTCTACAGCGTCACATACAGACTGGGAATCAGCAGCTCAGAGCAGCAGTGATACAGACCACAGACAACATTTTTTTTTTGAATCGGAAGAAAGGCAAAGAAAACAAGAGAAGATGCAGCTGCAGTGCGAAGTTAAAGAAAAACAGCTACAAGGGAAATCTCTCCTCTAATCCAGTTTACCAAGAGTTGGTTATAAATCTTTCCAAAAGTCCTTTGAATTATGTTGAGACAAATATTTTAGAAAAAGGATTATCTTTTGCACCCACACACGACTCAAATGAGATTAAATTTGTTTCATTTCTTTAGGAACGTTAAATTGAGGCACTTCTTTGGTAAGTGAGAGGGACATTCTGGGGGACACAAGATTAATTTCAGAAGTCAATCTGTTCATGCCCCCAAGGAATCTGGGCTCTGCAAACACAACTTTTGAAAAACTGGTTTTAAATAATTTGGATAAAGTAGAGAAATCAACAAAATTCTCCTGGAAAAATATGAGTAAGGCATAACAGTGGGCCCTCAGGACTCTTTCCTCTGATTCATCCATAGTTATAAAAACAGCGGACAAGGGTGGTGACAGTTATATAAAACACCAGTGACTATAAGCAGGAATTTCTTAGATAAATGTCAGATACAACAGCATATGAACCATGTGTATATGATCCAACTAATGAAATCATTAAAGAAATTAACATTCTACCAGAAGAGGGTTTATTCCTGGGTTGCATTCATAAAGCAAATAATCCAGTGGCAGGAAGACCCATAATGTGAGGATCTAATTCATATCTCGAGCCCCTATCCAAATGTATTGATCATTTTTGAAACCATTTATACCAGGGATACCATCATATATTCAGGACTCTAGAGATACAATTAATAAATTAGAGGCAGTTACAATATAAGAAAAGTATATTTTAGTTATTCTGGATCTAAGATCATTGCACACCAACATATCTCAGGAAGAAGCCTTAAGAATTATTTTGGACGAAACAGTAGAGAGACATCCACCAAATTTGTTCTTGTGTTCACTAGCTAAGACAGCCTTAAAAAGGAACTATTTTCAATTTAATAACAATTTCTATTGGCAAATAAAAGGAGTGGCCATGGAATGTGCCATGGACTCAGAAGTAGCCAACTTATATATGCAGTACTTATACATATATATATTCAACTTATATATGCAGCATACATCCAAATCAACAAAGGAATGGCTTCACCAAAAGAAGATTAAAGTTTTGGAATGGCCCAGTCAGAGCCCAGACCTGAATCCGACTGATTATCTGTGAGGTGATCTGAAGAGGGCTGTGCACAGGAGGCGCCCTTGCAATCTGACAGATTTGGAGTAGACTCATATCCAAAAAGGCTGAGTGCTCTAATAAAATCAAAAGGTGCTTCGACAAAGTATTAGTTTAAGGGTGTGTACATAGATGCAACCATATTACTTCAGTTTATTTTTACATCTCTCCATCTGAAAAATTTCAGTTTGCTGTTCAACTAAGTTGTACAGTTCATAGGTCTCATTAACGGTGGAAAAAGTTCTGAAATGATTTATCTTTGTCTCGTTTTTTACATCACAGACATTTGACATTTTAACAGGGGTGTGTAAACTTTTTCTATCCGCTGTATATAGAAAACCAACAAACTGTAACACCTATTGAGGTTTGATAGCTCCCATCTAAGATCATCTCTACATCAACATCTTCCATATGGTCAATTGTTAATGAAAGGGAACTACACCAAGAGGAAGGACTTTGAGCAGAAATCTCTAATATTGAGAAATCAGTTAAGAGACAGAGGTCATAGATAATACTTTTGCTAAGGCCAATAATACTAGACTCAGTGCTCTTCAAAACAAAACAAAAACTCTACAAATCATGTCAACTGTGTTCTAACATATGATCATGTCACCAACAAACTACAGAAATGCATAAAGAGGCATTGACATACAGTATATTAAAAAGTATAGAAGGTTTTCAGGAGGGGGTACAGGTATAACTCAAAAGAACAAGAAACCTAGGGGATATATTAGTAAAGAGTGAATTTAAGAACAGATTACCACCACAAATACAGAGCATTTCACCTGGTTCTTCCCCTTCCACAGGACACCACACCTGTGGACATTGTGCCTACTATAGAAATTCATGTCATATGACAGATTTTAAAGATCCACAGAATGGCAAGGTATACATCCTGAAGAAATCTACCAACTTCAATACCAAGGGAGTGATCTATGCCATACGTAAGTTGTCCTTGCAATAAATTGTATATAGGGAAGACCTCTTAAGACAAGAATAGGAGTAATTTAATAAATAGAAGACTAGACAGTCCTCTTGTCAGCCACTTCACAGAATTTAACCACAAAATAAGATATTTAATATTCTGGGTCATGGGTCATGGGTCATATTCTAGGTCTAGCCGCCTAGAGTGGTCGAAATGACTAGATAGGCGCGGTATAAATACAATAAATAAATAAATATGGTTCCTGTTAAATAGGTCCTTATTGAGAAGGGAAATCAATTGGATATTGAGGTTGAACACTTTAGCCCCTTTTGGGCTAAATAAAGGAACAGATTTCTTGCCCTTACTATAGCACAATCTCCACTGCTTCGCTGATTATCTAACTGTTCTTGACTTGTCTGCCAGTTGAGAATAAGTAGATATCACCCGTTCTATATTTGTACCTTGAATCAATGTTGGAGCTGGTATAGACCAAACAAGCAGCAAACATTCTAAAAGCTTGGTATGTATCTTATATGCTGTCATTAAGCTGTACTAGTTTACTGATCTTGTTATGTGCATATTCATTAATTTATAATGTTAGCTGTATAGATAAGAAAAAAGAGCTGTCCCAAGCCAGCTGTTTCTAAATTAATATATTTTAATTTTATGCTTAGCTCCTGACGGTCATAGCTGAAATGCACCAAGTCTGAGCGTTTTAGATAATAAAATCTGCATTGCCAATTTTTCTATATCTTGAAATTCAGTTTCCCATTTGTACTTTAGCCATCAGTGGATGTACCAGTTCCCTGTTCTTTGATTCTCTTATTCACATTTTTTCATCATTTGGATTCTGGCCAGCATTTGTACTGCAATCACACAAAGGCAAAATGCTACATTTGGTTAATTCTGTACAACAAAAGTAAGAAACCCTGAAGAAAAATACTGGGTGGGAAGGCAACTTACCTTTCGTTTCAGAACACTGAGCTTTTCGACTACTCCATCAAGGAGACTGACTACAGAATCAACTGCTGGACAGCTGCTCAGTGTTTTCTCTAACTCTGCTACAACCATTGTAACGTGGCTAGTCTCCCGGTCAATGTTTTTCTGAGCAGCTCGGAATCTTTTATTCAGTGTTTCATATGGCACCTTAAAAAATAAACAATTGTTTAGTTTAGTTATATATATATATATAAAACATAAGGCAGCTTAGCAAATCAGACTGGTGGCCCACCTTGCTGAATACTTCTTTATTAGTTACAACCGTTTGTGTTTTCTTGTACAGTACAAGGTATTATTTATTTATTTAGAATAATGGTAACAGAATAAATTCCAGCAACTTTACAGCAATATAGGCCATTCTTTGTATTGTTTCTGAAAACCTAGGATGCAAACGCACATTTAAAAACTGTATGTATTCATGCATTCTGATCTACTCATTCAAACTATACAAATTTTTCTACTTAGAAACATCCTGAATTATAAGAAACTTAATGCTGATGTTGCCAAGGAACTTTTTTTATCCCTTATGTCTGTAGTGAAGACTGTAGGTATAAATAATAAGAATATTTTTAGAATGAATAACTGTTCAGATAAACATTCCTCTGTATTACGAGGGCAGGGTGTCATCCACAAGTCATGCCCCTCTGACGGACCCACTAATCATCCATTTCAGATGACTGTGAATCCAGCATCAGCATAAAAAGAAGTCTACATATTCACAGATGCTCCCAGATTGTTTTGTAAATGATGAACACATGCCGACCATATATAGCTGGGAAACACTGTAAGTTAGACACTTCAGCACAAAAGCAAAGTTTGTATCCTCATTCAAGTGTTCACAGTAAAGGTAAAGTGTTCACAACAGATACATAAAAATAAGACAAACAAAATGGTGAACAAAAGATGCAAGGAAGAGGGATTTGGGTTTCCTCTCACAAACATGTGGACTGTTCTAGGTACAATAATCCTATCATTCATCTAAAGGAAGCCCCAGACAATTAAAAGGCACTTAACATTCCAACATCTATTCAAATGAGAACATCTGGCATTAGACCCCTTCTTTCAAAATTAGAGTGTAACCATGCAACACAATCACACAGTTGATCCAACTCTGGCATACATTTGCATCACAGTGGCAAGATCTTGCATCAGTCCAATGTCCTCTGAAGACAGGGTTGGGAACCACTGCCTTCTCTAAATATTATTCGAAAAGACCTCAAATAGGTGGGCATCTGGAAGGCATACCCTATCTTTTCCAATTGAGTGTGCCCGTCAGCTGCTTTGGACTACACAGCCTATCAGCATTAGCCAACATAGGTAACAGTCTGAAACTCTGGCATTTTAAGTTTAGGAATCAGGTAAACATCAGACTGGAAAGGGCTATGTCATTGTTTCTCACCTTAATACTCTTATATCTCAGATAGACATTATCCTATAAGAAAAATTACAGAACCACAAAAGGAAATGTGCAACTTAAAGTCAAAAGGATTTAGAGGCAAAAAGTCCTTACACAATGGGTCTTGTGATTAAGCACATACATTAGTATCTGCAGATCACTCACTAACTAACACTGCCCTAACAGACATTCGCTTTTAGTTAACAACAAACTCAGGATGTTCAAGGATCCTCTTGCCATTGTGTTGGGCCTAGTCATTTAAAAAGATAATAATCAACGGGGCTAATATTTAAACCAGTTACAAGAAATCAAATAGCATCACATGATTCTGTCTCTCTGCAACAGCCCTGGAAGGTAGGAGAATGACTGAGAAAGTGAGCAGGGAGATCCACACAAAGGGTGCTGCCAGATAAAGAATTCTTGTATGTTGCCATCAACTATGCCTCAGAAGGCAGTGGCACATGTAACGGGCACAACAAATCATGTAATCAGTTGCACATGGGAAGAACTAGTCCCAAGCACCCAAGTCCCAATTTGTAGGGCTTCAAGTAATAACCAGTAACTTAACTTGCATGCTAGAACAGATTAGCAGCCAGTACAGCTGACCCAATAAAGGAGGGCTCTTGATTCCAGTACTTTGCCACAACCAGAATTCTAGCAACAGCATTCAGCACCATTTGGTTTTCAGATATTCCACAAATACAGATCTAAGTAGAGCAGCTGTAACTGAACAAAACCAAGTCTGCTGAAGTTAATCAAAAGTACTCTCAGCCACAGAAGTCTATGTATCTAATAATGTCCGGTGATATCCTGTTCATAAACCAGTTGATTCCATAACCAGCACTACCTCTGTCCTGCCTACACTTAAATTTATGTATACTCATTTATCCAATAAATAACTCCAAATATTGATTCAGAATTTCTACTGCTTACCTAGAATTCAATGGGAAAGAGGCAGAATCATGAACATAAGGGTAAAACTCCATTATTTCATCCATTACTACAAAACATTTGTTAATATGATTTCCACTGTAGTTAATAGGGAAGAAATGTAAAAAGACAAGAGGTGGGCTTTTACCGCAGGTTGAAAATGTACTTCCCAATCCCCAATGATCTCTCATAATGATTTACTGTACATTCTAAAAAAATCATGCCTGACTTTGTGGAACTGACGTGGTGGCGCTGCGGGCTAAACCGCAGAAGTCTTTGTGTGCTGCAGAGTCAGAAAACGAGCAGTCGTAAGATTGAATCCACGCGACGGAGTGAGCTCCCGTTGCTTTGTTCCAGCTCCTCGCCAGCCTAGCAGTTTGAAAGCATGTAAATGCGAGTAGATAAATAGGTACCATTTTGGTGGGAAGGTAAACAGCGTTCCGGGTCTAAGTCGCGCTGGCCACGTGACAACGGAAACTGTCTTCGGACAAATGCTGGCTTTATGGCTTGAAAACGGGGATGAGGACCGCCCCCTAGAGTCGAACACGACTGACTAAAAAATGTCAAGGGGAGCCTTTACCTTTACCTATAGTTTAAAGAGTCAAGCATGACCCCCCCCCCCCAAACCATCTGTGCTATTAGGCTTCCCACTCTCCTACACTCTCACTTGCACTCTCTCCAGGGTTGCTTGTAAGGAAATACATTGTCACTCTTGCCCTTGCTTAAAACGAAAGATACAATTAACATTTCTAAAAGGCAAACTAATTTCACTCTGCTCAATTTCATCTATTTAAAATCAAGAGATATTCTGTAAGAGTCAGTTCCCAGTACTCTTGAGCAGTCACACTCAGAACATGTCAACAAACCCCTGGGAGTTGGTTTAAGACACACAGTGACCAAATGCACACTGCAACCTAAACGCAGAGCTGCTCAGGAAGAGGGAGAGGTATCCCTATGTCATTCATTTGTACTTTCTGGAAATACTAGGTAAATCTGTCTACAATCATTTCCTTAATTTGCGTTCTAAACATATAGATGAAACAATTACTCCAGATACACAGGTATCTAATTTCACTTAATTTTCACTATACTACCACCAAAATTTAATGTGACATTTTAAATGGTAGAGCACATTGTCTTCTACTTGCTTCACACAATGCTCTGAAGCAAAAGGAAGCAGAGGAGCTCATGTGACATTCTGGAACATGCAGTAGTATGTCACCAATAGTGATTGCTATAAAGCCCTAGGGGGTACATTTTCATTAAAGAATTTAGAAACATATTAGAACATATATTGCCAAATAATAGAAACAAACTGAGTTGTGATTCTTTACATGGGCTTCAGGCACAGAAAATGCCCAAATAAGCCAGGCAAAGTTCCTGGACCCGATCTCATTTTTAATGAGATCTTGACCATAAACCCTCATTGGTGGGCAGAGCCCTTAGCTACTCTTTTTACCTTGATAAATCACTCTGGCTGTTTTCCAAACTCCTGGTTATCTTCCATACTTATGCCTATTCATAAAAAAGACGATCCCTCTCAACCCTCAAATTATCGCCCAATAAGCTTATTATCCAATATTGGCAAAATATATTCTAAATATCTCTTGAAAAAACACTCTACATGGGCTGCTGCCAAGGATCTTCCTGGAAAGGAACAGATAGGCTTTTGCGCCGGAGCGTTCACTCTGAATCATATATTTTTGCTGTCTTTTCTTGCTGAAAAATAAACAATAAACAAAACCAAACTTTTTGTTGCCTTTGTGGACATCCGAGGGGCATTTGACTCCATCAACAGAGATCTACTATGGAAAAAACTTTCCAACTGGAGTATTGATCCACGCCTGCTATTTTTGCTCCGCCAACTGCATTCACATAATTCCTGTCAGGTTCATTTACCATATTTTTTGCTCCATAAGACGCACCTCTCCATAAGACGCACCAAATTTTTCGGAGAAGAAAACAGGAAAAAATAATCTGTTTTCTTCGCTCCATAAGACACACAGACTTTCGACCCCCCTGTTTTGTGGGGGGAAAGTGCGCCTTATAGTGCGAAAAATATGGTACCTGATTCCAACACTCTTACCAAAAAAAATTCCAATTTTCAAAGGTATTCGCCAAGGTTGCATTTTGGCCCCTTTGTTATTTAATTTATTTTTAGCCGATCTTCCCTCTTTTCTTTCCCCTTGCAATCAGTCGGCTCGGCCCTTAATGGTGTTTCCTTATCTATACTGCTGATGATACAGTGCTGATGTCTCGTACTAAATCAGGTCTTCGTCACACTTTACTTAAATTTCAGGATTTCTGTGATCTTAATGATCTATCCATTAACCCTAATAAAATCCACATTTTGGTTTTCCCCCCTCTTGGTCCCCTACATCTTGGACAATAGGATCTTCTTCCTACCGTCAAGTACACTCTTATAAGTATCTGGGTCTTCATATTAATCATAAACTCAGTTGGACATTTCATAAAAAAGCTGCCATTTCTTCAATTTCTCCCCAATTAAAAGCTATTTCTAAATTTCATTATTCTTCCAGAAACCAATATATCCCAGCAGCCATTCAGATTTTTCAGTCTAAGATTCTTTCTCATTTGCTGTACGGTGTGCCTATATGGATACACTCGGCTAATTTGGATATTGATCAAGTTGCAGCAACGTTTTTTTGCAGAGTATTAGGAGTTCCTAACTTAATTCGGCTTTCTACTATTTCTTTAGAATTGGGGATTCACCTACCTTCCACAACTGCCTGGTTACTTACATTTAAATTTTGGCTCCGTCTTTTTTTAAATTCACATTCTGGATCCCTGATATATGATT